TGACTTTTTGACTGAGTCATTGAATCATTCGCTCAACCGATTCGTTCAAACCGGCTGATTCATTCAAGAAAGAAGCAAGTGTCCATTGACTTTTTGACTGAGTCATTGAATCATTCGCTCAACCGATTCGTTCAAACCGGCTGATTCATTCAAGAAAGAAGCAAGTGTCCATTGACTTTTTGACTGAGTCATTGAATCATTCTCTCAACCGATTCGTTCAAACCGGCTGATTCATTCAAGAAAGAAGCAAGTGTCCATTGACTTTTTGACTGAGTCATTGAATCATTCACTCAACTGATTCGTTCAAACCGGCTGATTCATTCAAGAAAGAAGCAAGTGTCCATTGACTTTTTGACTGAGTCATTGAATCATTCACTCACCCGATTCATTCAGAACTGTGAATCATTCAAGAACGAAGCGCCGCTGTGTGTGGCTGGGAGACGCATCTTTTCTGCTTTGTTTGGAACTATTTTGTAGTCAAAATTGACAACATTGTGTGTAAAAATTGTCAGTTTAAATAATCAATTAATTGTTTATTGAACTGTTGTATTACTGTGTTACTATCTCATGAATATCATAATTGTTTTAGTATACCTTGAATGTATTTTGTCTATGCTTTGGTTCACTTTATGTGTGTTGTTATGATTTAATTATTGTTATTCTTCCTCTTCTTTGTATTTTCTTAGTCTATCTTTCTAATGAACACTGTGAACGGGGTCTAATTCAGCGGCAGGTGTTCGTAAAACAGCAGAAATCACTAACTGCACTCTTAACTCTGGCTCTTTTAAACAAACCGTGTGTGTGTGTGTGTGTGTGTGTGTCAGGCTCTGAAGGCGCTTCAGGACATGAGCTCATCCGCTCTGACCGTGTCTCCGCTGATGTCCATCCGACACAAAGCCATTCCTGTGCAAACCTTCGAGGTACGACATCATCACACTCCTGTCAAACCAGCCTTTGTGTGTTTGGCTTGTGTGTGTATGAGTGTGTGTGTGTGTTGTGTTGTCAGGTGAAACTGGACGTGTATCTGGCTGACCTGACGAAGATCGGGAAGAGTCAGAAGTACTCGCTGAGTGTGGATGTGGAGGGAGGAAAGCTGGTGGTGATGAAGAAAATGAAGGACGCGCAGGAGGACTGGAACACGTTCACACACGACAAGAGTGAGTCAGCGATGAGGATGAGGATGAAGATGAAGATGAGGATGAGGATGAGGATGAAGATGAGGATGAGGATGTTATTCTTACATTGTTAGCAGTAAAAAGTAAGTGTGGAATATGGACCCTTTTAATGCACTAAAGAAGTTACGTGTGTGTGTGTGTTTGTTTGTGTGTGGGTTTTTGTGTTTGTTTGTTTGTGTGTGTGTTTGTGTGTGTGTGTGTAGTTCGGCAGCTGATTAAGTCTCAGCGTGTTCAAAATAAACTGGGAATCGTCTTTGAGAAGGAAAAAGACAAAAGCCAAAGGAAAGATTTCATCTTTGCCAGCGCAAAAGTGAGTCACCCAGATTTATACTGTAGTTTCACAGTGTGTTACAGAAGCCACAGATTAATCGTTGTTTGTTTCTCGTCCTGTAGAAAAGGGAAGCGTTCTGCCAACTCCTGCAACTCATGAAGAACAAACATTCCAATCAGGACGAGCCCGATATGATCTCCGTCTTCATCGGGACATGGAACATGGGTGAGAGACACACACACACACACACATACACACACTCACTTGATGATTGACCACATCACCCTAGCAACGCCCTGATGACCACCCAACACACCCTGGTGAACACCCTAGCAACACCCTAATGACCACCCACAAAACCCTAGCAACACCCTGACGACCACCCGCAACGCCCTGATGACCACTCACAAAACCCTAGCAACACCCTGACGACCACCTGGAACGCCTTGATGACCACCCACAACACCCTAGCAACACCCTAACGACCACCCGCAATACCCTAACGACCAGCCACAACACCCTAACGGCCACCCACAATACCCTAACAACCATCCACAAAACCCTAGCAACACCCTGACGACCACCCGCAACACCCTAACGACCACCCACAACACCCTAGCAACACCCTGACGTCCACCCGCAACACCCTAACGACCACCCGCAACACCCTAACGACCACCCGCAACACCCTAACGACCAGCAACAACACCCTAACGACCACCCACAACACCCTAACAACCATCCACAAAACCCTAGCAACACCCTGAAGACCACCCGCAACACCCTAATGACCACCCAAAACACCTTAGCAAAACCCTGACGACCACCCACAACACCCTGACGACCACCCACAACACCCTAGCAAAACCCTGACGACCACCCGCAACACCCTAACGACCACCCACAAAACCCTAGCAACACCCTGAAGACCACATGCAACACCCTAACGACCACATGCAACACCCTAACGACCACCCACAACACCCTAACAATGGCCATGACCACCCACAACACCCTAGCAACATCCTAACGACCACCCACAACACCCTAGCAA